CATATACTGAGATAGACTCTCAGTATCCCAAACTTTCCATTCAGCCTTCAATTCCTGATCCTCTTGCCTCCACCTCCAGTTCTGGGATTACAGGCATGCTTCACTATTCTAGATTTGTGCATTGCTGAGGCTTGAACCCAGGACCTCCTGCATGTTTAGCCAATGAAACTATATCCCCAGCCCACAAGAATAGAGCAATCTGCCGACCCTGCCAGGACAACGAAGAAATGTACACGGCAATGGGTCATGCTCTAGTGTGTGGGCCTCAAACTTCCTAACGCTGCAACCCTTTAACACAGTTCTTCATGTTGTGGTAACCCCCTGCCCCCCCCTGCCCCGCCATAAAGTTGTCATTACTCTTCACAACTGTAATTTTGCTACTGTTACGAATTGTAATATAAATATCTGTGTTTTCTGGTGGTAATTTACGTGACCCCTGTGAAAGAGTTCTTTGAACACTACTATAGTGAGTAACTCTGACATGCCCGAAGTACAGCTAAATTTTCGTTAGGCTAATATTACAGATCTTGGAGTTGTACATGAGCTCGTAGCTAAGAGGCACGGAGAACTGGCCTTGGGCAGCTTTCAGCATTTGGCGCGTGGCCTGATTTTTTTTCCCCAGGAGACACTTTTCACCGCCTCACCGGGTAGCTCCTGGTCTAGCATTTTTCTATGCTGCCAGTTTAAGCTGCTAAAAGTGGGGTTGTGAGCTGGGCTCTAAGAGGCCTCGCTACACCAGTTACAAAGGCGATCTGCAGCGCCCCCTGGCGGTGCCTGTTGCTGACCCGCAACACCACGAGCGTCTCCCGGCCGCCGCTGGGGCGGTGCCTATTGGGTGCCGGAGTCAGGAAACCCTTCTTGGCTATCTTGCTTGTCTCCAAGGTTTCTCACTGCGCTTCAGCCTCGTGCCTAGGAGTAGGTGGCATCTCAGACAGGTCTGACAGGAGTGCATAGAGAGCCTGGGTGCTTGCTCTCTTTGGGACCGCAAGTGTGGACACCCAGATGATGGGTCTGGAGTGATACAGCTCCTTCTCTCAGTAACCCCCAACCTAGTCCCCATCACACTTCCTTTCCTGTCTTGGACCCTGAAGAAAGACTGACAGCGACCCCTGAAGCTAGTAGACTCCAGAATAGAGGGAGCAGCATCTCCACAACACGAAGTGTGCATAGGAGAGATTCCCAGCTTTAGCCCTTACGTACAACGCACAGTGGAAATCTGGAGTGGTCAGTGACAATTTTCTACCCTTGCCACACAGGACACAGACTCAAATGTGGTCATGGATGAGCTGCTGGATTTTTCTGGTTTCCCACATTAATTTGGACCTCCTGGGAGATTCACGTTCAAACCAGAGCGGGTCCAATGTTCAAGAAAAGGAACGCCAGTGGTGTCTCACGCCTTTAATCCCAGCACTCGGGAGGCAGAGGCTGGCGGGTCTCCGTAAATTTGAGGCCAGCCTGGTCTACAGAGCGAGTGCCCAAAACCAAAACCAAATAAATAAATAATGTTAAGGGTTAGTGGATCTGTGTGGATGCATATTGGATTCTCTCTCTCTCTCCTCTCTCTCTCTCTCTCTCTCT